TTAACCTAATATATCAAATTTCTTTCAATACCAATTGCCTGATAATTGATCAATATAATTGATAAACACATCTTTTTTTTCTCTCAAAAAACAAAAAACTCCCATGAATTTTTTCTTATAAAAACCTCTCGTGAAAACCTCTCATAAAACTTTAAAAAAACTTCTTAAAAACTTTTCATCGAAAACTTTTCTCTATAAGAAAACTTTTTTAAAATAAACAAGCCCATTTTTACATCTCTTACAAAAAAAAAATGTTTGAAATCGACATCGCAACTGTTATGTTCACAACAGTTAATCTTGTCGTTCTTCTTGATTATTTGGTAAATATTTTAATGGAGTGGCTATACCCACGAGTTGATGAAGAATTTCCATCTTTGTCTGAAATCAACACTCTCAATACTCTTTTTGCTTTTATCATTGAGAGACCGAATTGTAATGTTAGCTCAGATATCAAATCAAATTATGATGTTAGCTCAGCTATCAAATCAAATTGTGATGTAGATGTCAAATCAAATTGTGATGTTAGCTCAAATGACGAATCAAATTGTGATGCTAGCTCAGATGGTGAATCAAATTATGATGCAGATGACGAATCAAATTGTGATGCTAGCTCGGATGGTGAATCAAATTATGATGCAGATGACGAATCAAATTATAATGTTAGCTCAAATGACGAATCTGAAGTTGACGATGAACCAAATCTAGAAAATATTTTGATAATGATGGAAGATGCACAATTTGATCCTAAAATAATTACTGATAGTGTTATTACAATTAAACAACACGATAAAGAATTGTTGTCACTATCATCAATTTTATCAGCAATCGACGCTGAAATGCTTCAAGTAACCAAAAAACTTGAAGCATTATCATTTGACGACACCGAAAATATTCAACCACTCAAATCATCATCGAAAAAACTCAAAGCGGTTGAACCATCACCATCATTATCTGATGCATTTGAAGCATCGTCATCATCATTGTTGTCAGCAATTGACACTGACATGCATCAAACGATTGAATCATTGTCGTTAAAAAATATCGAAGCATTCGAATCATTGCACTTAAAGAAAAATTTAAATTGGTCAAATATTGATTTTTGTTCGAACAAAAAGGAATGCTTATCCAATGAGAACAAGGGCAATGTCAATGACAACTCTTCAGTAATTGAATCGTCACCATCATCATTGTTGTCAGTAATCAACACTGACATATTTCAAGCAATCGAATCATTATCTTTAAAAAACATCCAAGAATTCGAAGAAAAATTCAAATTGCTCAAGTATTGATCGCAATCTTGTGCATTGTATATGTCATTTCTCAAACCAGCTAGTCATCCTCCAGGAAAGACACAATAATGATACCAATGTCATCAGTATCTTTAATCTCCAAAAAGTTTAGATAATAACGTTCAGGCTCAAATTATCAAAAGGATAATAATAAAGTTAATTGGTTGGAGACTTTTTAATCCGAGCTTAAAAATATAAGCAAATCTTCAACAAGTCTAAATAATAATATTTAGGATTCAAATAATCCAAATGGTGAAAGCGAGAATCCGAGCTTGAAAAAATAATTATGATAATAATGTCATCAGTATCTCTATTTCTATTTAATCCCCAACAAGTTTAGATAATAACGTTCAGGGCTCAAATTATCAAAAGGATAATAATAAAGATAATTGGTTGAAGATTGCTTTTGAATCCGAGCTTAAAAATACAAGTGAATCTTCAGCAAGTCTAAATAGTAATATTTGGGATCAAATAATCCAAATGGTGAAAGTGAGATACTTTTGAATCCGAGTTTAAAAATATAATTGATGAATAATGTCGTCAGTATCTCTATTCCTATTTGATCTCCAACAAGTCTAAATGATAACAATTGGTGCTCAATGATCAAAAAGATGAAGATAATTGGTTGAGGATTGCTTTTGATTCTGAGCTTAAAAATATAAGCGAATCTTCAACAAGTCTAAATAATAATATTTGTGATTCAAATAATCCAAACGGTGAAAGTGAGATTACTTTGAATCTAAGCTTAAAAATATAGTAATGTCGTCAGTATTTCTATTCCTATTGGTTTAAATAATAACATTTGGGGTTTAAATTATCAAAAAGATGAAGATAATTGGTTGAAGACTTTTGAATCCGAGCTTAAAAATACAAGCGAATCTTCAACAAGTCTAAACAATAATATTTGGGATTCAAATAATCCAAGCGGTGAAAGTGAGATTACTTTTGAATCCGAGCTTAAAAATATAATTGATGATAATAATGTCGTCAGTATCTCTATTCCTATTTGATCTCCAACAAGTCTAAATGATAACGATTGGTGCTCAATGATCAAAAAGATGAAGATAATTGATTGAGGATTGCTTTTGATTCTGAGCTTAAAAAATATAAGCAGATCTTCAACAAATCTAAATAATAATATTTGGGATTCAAATAATCCAAACGGTGAAAGTGACATTACTTTGAATCTAAGCTTAAAAATATAATAATTTCGTCAGTATTTCTATTCCTATTGGATCTCAACGATAATTGTTGGGCTCAAATGATCAAAAAGATGTAAATAATTGGTTGAAAATCACTTTTGATTCTGAGCTTAAAAATACAAGTGACCGATTTCATCAGTAACCTCATTTATACCGAATCCTCAACAAGACTAGATGGGGTTTAAATAATCAAAATGGTGAGGATGATTGGTTGAAAATTGCTTTTGAAACCAAGCTTAAAAATACAAGTGATAATGATTTAGTCACGGTAGTAACAATAGAAGAAATAAGTCTGTTAGCAATAGCTATCGTCAAGATATCACAATAGAGTTTTCATCATGTCAAAATTTATTTGTAAATAAATAATTCAAAAATTTTTACATTAATAAATTAGAATTCAACAGTTAATTAATATTAACAAGAATTGCCCCAAGACCAGAACGTTTATATTAAGAATTGGTTCAACGTGGAATCATTATATATGATTGGCAAATAAAAAAAATTTTACGTTCCAATTAGTGTTGTAATGTGAACAATTATTCGTTTGAGTGAAGGAATAATTAATAATATATTTAATCAGATGGATAATTAGTGTACTAGCGAATAGTTTTTCATAATTTGTTAGAAATATTTATACATTGAATCTCGTATTCCTTTTCTAATTAGAATTACATATTCAATCAGTTTTCCTGAATGTTCAGAATTACGGATAAATACTATAACATTCCACAAAGTTATTGAGATGAAATATACAAATTTTCGAGAAAGAAGTTAATAAATAAATCATTATTAGCCATTCAACAAATTTTCTTGATAAAGCCATTATGCTCACCACTTCTTCTTCCTGATACTTCTGTTATTGCTGTTGATGAACAGGTGAGAATAATATCAATGCGTTTGAGTAGAGGAAGTTGACAAAGAAAAAGATAATGCCAAAGGCATCTGATGATTATGATGAATTTTTGCATTTAAAAGATCTACCTGATTGCTTCCACATTCAATAACAGCTTCTTACTGACACACAACCATCAGAAACATGAAATGTGACACTTTGCATATGTAATCTACCACTAAATTAAATATTTTTGATATACCATAGAGATCTTCACAATGTTTTTCTATCCTCCCTCATTTTCTTTTAAAAAGGCATTATATATATACTAAAAATTTCGAACATATCAACATTATTATTATCATAATCTATTTTAACAACTTTGTGGTAGAAAATGATTGCTAATGGCAATGATTGTTCTGGCCTCTTTGGATCACTACAGCACTATCAACTAATAAATAGATAATATGAGGGAGAAAGGGAAGAAATAATTAATTATCATTAATCAAAAATCTGATTGACCATTTGTATAAAACTTACTTTAATTTTAACATCAGAAGAAAAAGGACCCAAAACGAATATACATCATGTAATAAATATTAGATGATCCATGAATTCTAAAAGTTGAATTCTAATTCATTTAGCCGAAATACCACCTCATCAGAGACTGTTTCATTGGTTTTTGTGGTGATTTTTATCAATCTGATTGTGAAAGAATCAATGATATTTTTGATAATAAAATAAAATATTATGTCTATTGTTGTCAGTTGGCAATAGTATTTATAATAATAACTTGAATATCCATCTTCAACAATAAAGTAGATTTACAATTAGCATACACATGCGAGAAATCAAATTAAAATGCAGCTACGATCAACCAAATTTGGCTAGCTTTAATCATGTAAAAACTTTTATTCTACACACTTTGGTTAATATTAATCAGAAACAACACAAATAGCAAAACGGATTATTAATGTTAATTTACCGCCATTATTTACCAAATTGAGTTAATACATACATACACAAATGAGCAAAAAACGGGAAAATTTGAAAAACATGTGATCATGTTTTTTTGTGCATAATTTAAAAATATATATAATATAATCATTAATATATTATTAAAACGAAAAGTTGGCGTGTAACTTTTGCTTATTATTTTTCCTATTTAAATTCTTGTCTATCTGGAGAATCATTACCCGTAATTTTGAGAATAGAATAATCTGCATTTGATTGTTTATAATAAACCAATAACTAGTTACATATATATATAAAAAAAATAAAATCGATTATTACTTACCATACTATTACTATATTTAGAAAATAAAAAAACGATTCTCATTGCCTGATTTATTTATTATTAACAACTTCAAATTTATGATCTACCGTGTTTCATTCCATTTATAAATTTAAGCGTACAACATGATGATCTTGCATATATTGAATTTTTAATTTTAAGTTTACTGTAACTGTGTTAGCCGAAAATTTACGACACACAAAAATTTTATTTCAATACACAACTTACCATTTTATTATTTTAAATCGATAAAGAAGATCAACATCCATTAATCCTCTTTTTTTAGATCACACCATCACGATATTACTACTGTTGCTAATTTAAATTTCTTTCTAAAGTTTTATTTTTTTAATTGTTGAAATTTGTTATAATAATATTTGCAAATGGTAAGTTTTTAAATCTTTATACATAATAATGATAATGAATTAAGAGAAAGAAAGAGTAGAGTAAATATAGATTGTGCTCTACTTAAATTTACTTTGATGTGTATTTAATGCTAGACCTTTAGAAATATAAATTATATGTAGTCTTGAATTTTATTAGAATTTAAACATTTTACAATTATTATCAAATAAATATATACATTCTCATTCACACACACATATATGCACAAACATATTTACATTAATCCACAAATTCATTCACAAATTCTCAATAATCCATTCCCACAAAATTATTCTAGGCTGACCAATTAAGTGAAGCACAAATCACAGAATTTAAAGAAGCATTTTCTTTGTTTGATAAAGACAGTGATGGTACCATCACCACCAAAGAACTTGGTACAGTAATGAGATCGCTTGGTCAAAATCCAACAGAGTCAGAATTACGAGACATGATCAATGAAATTGATGCTGATGGTAATGGGACAATTGACTTTCCAGAATTCTTGACAATGATGGCCAGGAAAATGAAGGATACTGATTCTGAACAAGAGATAAAAGAAGCTTTTAAAGTTTTTGATAAAGATGGTAATGGTTTTATTTCTGCTGCTGAACTAAGACATGTTATGACTAATCTTGGAGAGAAACTTACTGAACAAGAAGTCGATGAAATGGTAATTATTATTGTGATTTGCATATAATGAATAGATGTGGGTGAAAATATTTATAATTAATTTAAATTTTTATTTATTTAGATTCGTGAAGCAGATGTTGATGGTGATGGACAAATTAATTATGAAGAATTTGTTAAAATGATGGTGACAAAGTAACTGATTCATTTCCATCATCTTTCCTTTTCCCACTTTCTCCATCTTCTTCAATAAAAAAATTTTTGTAAAGACTTGAAATCTTTTAAAACTTTTTTTTTCTTTTTACTTCTTCTTCCATTATTTAATTAATGAAATAATTGCAACTTTGTAAAAAATAAATTCTTTCTGTCATATAGTTATCACATATATTTAATATACATACATATATATATAATTTATATTATTATTATATGAATTTTTTATTCTCTTTACAATTTTTCTTTTGTAAAAAAAAAAACATCAAAAAAATAAAAATATATTATTATTAAAAAAAATTGGTCTTTGGGGAATTAATTAGTAAGATGGAATTCTGGATGATGATGAACTTTCATTTATAACTTCAACATTTTCCAAAATAACAATTATTTAAAACTATAACATAAAAAAACTATAGAAATAATAAACTCTCATAATATAATGTATCAATAAATCAACAGTGACATTACTACTGATTTTGTGATGAAAAAGAATTTGTAGCTATTCTCTGGATAATTATCAAAATTTATAATATTTAATTGCCCTCCACAAACAAATTCATCAATGTTTTTGTTTCAATAATCATGTTGAGGTTTTAATTACACATATCAAAGCCATCAACTGCTTTAATTGACAATTTCTGAACTCTTTATTATTATATCTAATGTATGCTGTGGTTGACCAAAACATTCACACAGCTTTAATTTTATTGTCTCACAAGGATATTTTCTTTGCTAGAAATTGTAAAGAGAGAGGAAAAGATTGAATACACTATTGTTTAATTTGTGCCATTTGCTTACGGTGAGTAGTGATGTGCAAGGACTTTTCTTGTTAAATTGCAATTATATTGATGATAAACCATTTTGGATAAATTGGTTCTTTATGCTGATGATTGTTGTAGATAGACTGAATACGAAGGGCATCATATAAATTCTCCTAGTGTGAATTATATAATTCATCATTAAAAGGTTTATTACAGCTTTCAATGAGTTTGAGTCCAAGACAAATTGGCATACATTTATGCTCTTGCTTAAAGATGATATTATTCATAAGCATTGAATTGGGCTATATAATGATTGTGAATTTTAATCTTTGCAATTTGGTTTCTAAACCAGTTCATTTTTTTTTTACCTAATATTTTTGATAAGAATATTGTTAGCATAAGAACCAATAGAGATAAATGCTTGTTTGACACTTTATATAATAGTCAAAGAACCAATCTAGTGGTTGTTACACGAACCGTTCTAAAATTTTTGGGGTCATTGAGAAAATGAGACAATTTTTTTGGCACACAAAATTTCATTAAAGCAAAAATGAGGAGGATATTTCTAAGCTGAAAAGATTCGCCACCTCAAGCCATATATAACTGCATTATTGTCTCAAAAATGACAAAAATAAATCGACTCATTTTCTTAGATGGCTCCCTATTTAGAGGTTGATTATTAGTAGCATCTTTAGAAGAAGAAGGGAGAAAAAGAGAAAGAAAATGATTATAGGATATGATAAGAATGAAAATTTATAATGATCTTGTAGGACTTTTAAGAGAATCTGATTCTTATGCAAATCACAGTTGGAATAAACTATGATATTAAAATTTATAGAGCACATTATCCACAAGATCACCTTATTTCAATGCTCCTTTATTAAATAATTTAATTAGAAAATCTGGAAATGGAATTATTTTCTTTGGATGGAAAAATAGTTCTCCAAAAACATTTAGAATTGTTTTAAAGTAAGTTTTTAATATTTAATAATTGATTTGCCCAACAAGCAATTAATAACAATAATATGTTTATCTTCTTTCTATAGTAAGTTGTTTTATAAGATATGTTTATGATGGAATTATCAATCTTTATCCAATTGAAGCTCCTTTGGGCTTGCAATAGTTAATTATTTTTTTTTGGGAAATTATGTGCCACAATATCTTTTGTGATCAGGTTCAAGCAATAAGCAACACATCAAATATTCAGTATGAATGGAAAATTATCATGAATCATTTCCCTTGCTTTTTTAACATTTGTTCCACCATCAGACACAATGGCTACAAATTTATTGATTCCAACTTCTTCAAAGATACATTTAATTTGTTCACAAAGGTACTTGCCAGTGTGACTAAATGATGATAAATCCTTAATTTTATATAGATGTTCTTTATGATCAGAGGTAAGGATCACAAAGTTCCAAAGATAAGGCTATTAAAATAAATAAAAATTAATTTAATAAACAAAAATGAATAAATAAAAATTAACTTAACTGTTTTCTAAAAGCTTATTCATTTTAACAGTGATTCTTCCCAATTCTTCATTAATTAAATGATCAGAAAGCATTTTTCTGGAAGGAGACTTGTATGCTGTTCTCAGCTGCTTTATGAATTCAATAAAATATGGGTTTTCTACAAGTTGAAAAGATAAATTACAGACAACAACAGCTTTGATCAATATCTTGTTTTCTTTTTGTTGTTGATTTGGTACTTTCAATAAAATCTTCTAAACCAGTTTGGTTTGATGGTCGAATTCTTCTATTAGATTGATTTACTGATTCATTATCACGTTTAGAAATAACTTCAAGGAAGGCATATTTAATTGAGTCGTTAATTGCTGGACATTCAAAAGCTGTGATGTTCCATCATAGTGGGAAAACCCTTATTCCAATGCTTTCCACAACTTATACATTCAGCAACATAATGACCAGGAGAAAATTCCATACTACAGCATGTGGACATCCACCTTTTTTTCTTTGTGTATCTATTTCATTATTAATACGGTGCAGATCATCTATAATCATTAATTGCTTATAGTAACAATTGGTCAACTTCAAAATACTAAAAAATTTAACCAATAAGTTTTATTGTTCATGACTCAAGCTTCAAAACTTATCAGCTGGTTTTTTCTTAAACTGAAAATTGGCAGAGCCTTAGCATTTTGAAAATTCCGAATTTTGTTATTATTATTATTATACATTTAAGAAATTGAGACTAATTTCGTGTAACAACTTTTTTTTCATGTAATATTTTTAGTGATCACAATCATCATATTCATGAATATTCATTAAGGGGGTTACACTTATCAAAATCAAGTGATTGACACATAATTTTAAGGGATTTTTGGATTTTTGATAAGTGTAACCCCTTAATGAATATTCATGAATATGATGATTGTGATCACTAAATATTTTCTACAACATACATTTGATTTATTTGATTTTTTTTATTAATAAATAAAGGGAATTGTTATTCGCACCCCTCCCGTGACTAAGTGTAGTAATGTGACCAATGAATGGCTTTAAAATGTGATGATTTTATTGGTTCATCTTTGTCTTAGTCACGGGAGGGTGCGAATAACAATTCTCTAAATAAAAGTTCTCATTAAAAGAAAATCATTACCAAATTTGGTCGTGAGATTCAATGAAAATTATTGTTGCACTTCTGAGCACAACTTTCAAATTTAAAAAATCTATGGAAAGAAAATTTGAGACAAATTTTTTTTAGATTAATAGACTCCTCTTTTAAAGTTGAATTGAATGGTGGTGAGTTTTTTAAAATCCAATGTGTGGTTCACATAATATTTTGAAAATTTTAACTTTTGAGTATAGATGATCCGCACTGTATTTATATATATATATATAAATTTATATATTTATTGTTTTATGAATTATTTCAATTTTTATATATGTATATATTCAATGGGTAAAGTGAATAATTTAGTCATGATCCAGAGAGCATAAATAATATTAATTGATTATTTTTATTATCAATTTTTTGGATTAAATGAGATATCAATGATATTGATGAATTTGCAGGTAAAGGAAAAAAATTATTGAATTTGTATACAATATTAAAATCATTTATCAGATACTGATTTTTATGTGTGTATATAATATTTAATAGGTAAAAGGAATAACTTGGCCATTTATAAATTATAAGCACATTTATTTGTGTATATTAATTATATTTAATGGGTAAAAAGAATAACTTGATCAGTTATAAATTATAAACACATCTATGTATATATTATATTTAATGGGTAAAATGAATAACTTGATTAGTTGTAATTATAAACACATTTATTTGTGTATATTAATTATATTTAATTGGTAAAAGAATAGCTTGTTCAGTTATAAAGATTATAAAAATAGAAATAACTAAAATAAAATAATAATAAAAAATTAAGAATTTCAGAATTAGTTAATTTCAGCCAAAAGAGCATCCAAAGCCAATTCCAGTAACAGTAGTAAAGAGGAAAGCAGCTAGAAGGGCACCCACTAAGAAATGTGATCAGGATATATAGTGCAAAATCTAAAGATATTATTTGATAGTGAAAGATAGTTTTGAGAGTAAAGCATAAATATACATTTGCAGAAATTGTTGTTATGATTTAGTATAAATAAATTGGAAGAAATTGTATTAACATTGTTGGCATATTATTATAAACAAAATATTGAGATTTATTGTGAGATGCAGATTTTTATCTCATTATTATTTATCTACATATGATAAAAATATTAAAACAGTATATGGGGCATGCTGCAACAAAACCAGACAAAGTGAACATTGGTATGGTACGTCTAGTCTAGTCCCAGCAATTGACATAATAAGTGGCCAAATTTGAAAATTATATATGAACACAGGTGTAATGTTGTTAGATCCACAAATCACATAATATTTTTTTATTACAGAAATTTTTACTCATTGTTTTCATTATTAAAAATATTGTGGGTTACTTTTCTATGAGATTTATATTGCTTAATTGCAAATTTTGCTTGCTCACCTGTAAGTCCATTCCTATAAGCATCCATGTACTGAAAAGAATGTCTAGCATATTTCCTAATATGTTCTAGTGATACAGAATCCAATGCTTTTGGAACCACCTTTTTCAATCCATTCCAAGAATAATCACAATTGTTTCTTGCATATCATTTGGCCTCTCCCCAGTATCTCTCAATAAAATTCAGTTCACAGTGAAATTTTGGGTAAAATATTACTTTTCCATTGAGGCATTCTTTTAATATTACCATGAATTATTGGCAGGAGACCATTGTTTATCAGATGATTCCTGATATTTTCAAAATAAGCCCTACCAATTCCTAACATATTGAGATAAGTTTCTTGACAAAGAGGTGTATTGTAATCTCAGTGATAGAAAGTTTTTTTATTGGATCTGTTTTTCTTTTTAAGGCGTCTGCTGGTGCTTATTGACCCACCATCCATTGCTTTAATCTGTGCCATTAAAAATATGTCTTGTTCAGACTTGGAAAGAGCCTGAAAGGATTCTCTTAATTCTGCAAATTGTTCTTTGGGAATTCTGGAAGAGCAACCACATTTACAACCTTTTTCTAAAAAATCAATTGCTTTTTGATATTCATCAGAACCATTATTTTCATTATCTTTGTTAATACTTTTCATATACCTATAACCCTATATATATAATTTTATGTTCACTTTGTAGGTTTTCATTTATTTTAAAATTGAAGAGATCCTAAAATTGGTCCTGTGGTGACAAGCAAAGTAGGCAGAAAAGAATTAAATTTGAGTGGATCTGCAAATAAATATTTTCAAGTATATATTCAATGATTGATAAAAAAACTTCAGCTGGTTCCATGAAAAATAATTATGTTAGATTTAAATTATTTATTATTACTAAAATGGATAAGATAAATTATCTTGAGACCTAAGATTTATTGATCAAGCTAAAACAGATAAACAAAAACAATTGAAGAAATTGTTGTTTTGTGTTGATTATACTAAAACAGTAAAAAAGAATTTTTTTATCTTAGAATTAGTGCACAAATCAGTTTGTAGTCTTCTGAGATTTTTGCTATAGTGTATCATTTGATCTAACAAAATCTATTTGAAATCTACTATTAAAAAATAAAATGGTTAAATTTATTTTTTTTTGATCAAAAAAGTAATTTTAAAATATATAAATATGATTGATTTTGGACTGAGGTTGATGTAACAAAAAAAATAAACAAGACTTAGCTTTTTATTATTTAATCCTTTCCCCATATACAAATTCCTTTGTCACAATGATCATTCAATGCATTTGATATCATCACTGACATAACAAACAATTGCATCACCCAGGTAGTAATGATACCAAGGCCACGCAGAAATGAAACTTTTAATAATGCATGTCTACCCAGATCTCTGGGGTTCACAAGAATAAATAAATAAATAGTGAGGATTAAAAAAATTATTATAGTCCCTTAAAATGAATAATAAATCTGAGATTAATCACAAGTGTCAGATTTAATTAAAATTTTCCTATCACAAACATGCAATAACCATGCTTTCACATGCCTCATAACTGTGGATTTTTTTTTCCACAGGTAAGCCGCAAGCATGTTGGAAGGTTTTGGACAAAACTTTTCTTATCTTCCCCTCAGACCAGGCTTGGCTGTTACCATATGGCATTGATTGTTGACAAGAGTTGGCACTTGTGTGATGCTTTGCTTTATATTACCCCTCTCTAGAATAAAGTTGGTATCTGCAACCTGGGAAGTTGCTGTTTTGGATTTTCCCTGAATTCTGAGTTTTGAGTCCTGGGTTGCTGTCTTGTCAGTGGCATGCCTGCCCACCAACAACCCTACCCCCATTTAAAAAAAAAACAAATTAAGTTGGTCAAACAAAAGTTTAGAGAAACAGAAAATTTTATGAATTAATTTATACAAAACATACCAAACAAAATCCGATCCATTTTATTTTACTAACATCAGAGCCCAAATGCATTTCAGGGCCACCAACCCCATTCTGAATTGCAACCTCCTGTGCTTGAAACGAGCTGCAGATTCTCTTAATATTCCTCCAGAGTTGCGACTTCTTGGTCACAGAGCCATACTTAGAGGTAGGATCGTTGCAGGCAACTTTTCAGCAAACTTGTCAACCTTCTCTGGTCAGACATATGAGGAAAGATTAGTGAAAATATCCTTGACGATTGATGCAGTCTCGGTAAATCCCAGGGCCTTACACCCCTCCTGGAATTCAGTTGCATCATTGTATCATCAGGGGCTTTGCAGTCAGATTAGCCTTTGTACATGAGGAATGTATGAGAATGACTGTAAATGTTCAAGGTAGCGTGCGTGCTTCAACACTTGTCAAATTTCCAATAATCAAAACGTCACGTATCGAAATGTTTCATATTTGGATTGTGACTTTTTTCAACAGTCAATGCTGCCTTGACATCTTGTAATTAATTATAATAATATTAATGTTATTATTGATTATGATTACGAAAAGCCAAATACCAATCATTTGTTTACATCTTGATGAAAATCTTATAATTACCCAGCAAGATCTGCTCCACGTTTTGATTTAAAAGATGTATCAATGCAAATTAAAAAAAGTTACCTCTGGTTAGTTAATAACACGTTTCTTTTTAGAACCAATCATGCTAAACAACATCACTCACGTTTTGTCATCTGTCAAAAAATAAATTGTTTTTCCAAAAAAAAATCAATCGCGTCACAAAAAAAAACCACAGGGGGGCCCATACATAAAATAATTAGACGCATTTGTGAAGCATAGTGGACATTTGATTTCATTGGCTGTTGATCACATAAGATCAAATTTTATTTGTATATATATATACAAAAAAATAAAAAAATCATAACGTCATTAATGCATGACTAGGTTTTTTATTATGCAGCCTAATGTTTTATTTACTCTTCTTTGACTTCATAAATCGTTGATTTATATTCATCACTATATCATCTATTATATAATATATATCTGTCATTTTCCTATTTAAATAAATTGGTGGACGTGAATATAAACATAAATGTAAATATAAATAACCTATGAATAAATTTTTTAAACATGTTTACATTACTTTATATTATCTCCCCATAAAATCATGATGTCGATTCAAGTAATTGTTATTGTTTAAAAAACTCTTTTCATTTTTTATATATTAAACGATCTTTAATTTTTTCTCTTCTTTTAAATATTATCTCATTGTGAAAAAATATGATATAACCTACTCATCCCGTGTTAGAAAAATTTGAATATAAGTAAATCAAATAAATATATAAAAATAAAATATTTCTTTCTTTAAAGTATAATGAGAAAATAAAATAAATAATAATAATAAAGGTTGCAATTCTGGCATAAATAGATCACGGAATCCTTAAACTTTCGTTTCTAATATAACATATTGAAATCAATTTGATCGATTTGATCGTTTTTTATTAAAATGTAAAGAAAGGTCTAAAATATATATCAATGTAAAAAAAAGATGTATTTCATAAAATAGTTTTTGTGCGCAGTCACGAGACTATTTCTATTCTAAAATCGCCTGTTTCACAATACACAGTGTAGGGTTTCTATTCGAATAAGGTTTATTCGAATTATTCACTTTATTCGTTATTATTATTAATAAACTTTCAATGTAATTCGAATACTCAAATTCATAATATTAATATTATTCGAATAAATTTTAATTCGAATTATTCGAATAAGAAAATTGATTCGAATAAGGAAATTAATTCGAATAAAAAAATTAATTCGAATAAGAAAATTAATCCGAATAAAAAAATTAATTCGAATAAGAAAATTAATTCGAATAAGAAAATTGATTCGAATAAAAAAATTAATTCGAATAAGGAAATTAATATTAATTTGAATAAAGCAAATAATTCGAAAAAAATAATTCGGATAAAACAAATAATTAAGGTCCAGTTTAAATTCAAGCTCACCGGAAAGATTGCTATTTATTAAAAGAAACATGAATCTTGTTTCAGTCTTCCTTATTAGTTTCATTTTTTATTTCAATTTTTATAATAATAAAATCAATATTAAACCTTGTTGTATATATAGTTTGAATATTTAAGTAATTGAACAACCCATGATTCCAAATAATCTAATAAATGAACGAACAAACCCAAGATTCCGATAATGAATAAAACAAATAAAACAAATAATTTGAATAAAGCGAATAAACTTTTTAATTCGAATAAACTTTTTAATTCGAATAAACTTTTTAATTCGAATAAAACTTTTTAATTCGAATAAATTTTTTAATTCGAATGAATTTTTTTAATTCGAATGGATTTTTTTAATTCGAATAAATTTTTTTAATTCGAATTAAAGGTCAACTATATTACGAATAATTCGAATAAGAATTTGTATTACGAATTGAAACCCTAACACAGTGTATCTCGATTTAGCGGATTTAGGGGTTTAACGGATAAATTTTCAAGACCAAATCTTTCTATTGCTATAATTATTTTATCTTGATTTAACGGATTTAACGGATTTTTCATATATATTCGAAAAATCTATATGTTCGATAATAAAAATATCTCGATACAACGGATAATGTTGATCATTAACTAATACAGGCATCAAACGTAATTAAAATATTATACGGTGCAGATCATCTATAATCATTAATTGCTTATAGTAACAATTGGTCAACTTCAAAATACTAAAACAAAAAA